TCATTTTCCCTTCAGGCTACAGGCTACTGGTACCCAAACTGCGAATAGCAGACCCGGGCTACCCCTAGGACAGACAGGCCCTACGGGCCTATGCTAATAGACGGTCCTATAGCCTATAGTCGGGTAGGGTTAGGCCCTAGAGGCCAAAATTGGTCAGTCAATCTTGTCTAGGTCGGTCTAGGCTATATGAAGATTATAGTCTTATAGATAGGATGTGGACACCAGAGGTCTGGCCTATCACAGGTCTGATGTGTTGGAGTACGTGCTGCACTGCTCACTCAGTGCTGACCCTCCTCAGGAGTAGGGTCCGAGGCTCCCGGACTCCCTGTGGTGATCCAGCCATAGCTGCATCTTCTCAGACATTATCATCGTTTGGACTTCATCTTCATCAGGTACTGTTGGCCGTGAGCTTCTACTTCATCATCTGAGTGGCGATCGCCGATTGGCTCTGGGAGCCCGTTTCACTGTTTTTAGCTGTTCAGGGTGTTGGGGTTGAGGCGCTACCCCTTTCAGGGTAGCGCAACAGGGTTCTGAACTTCAGAGGTTATTTTAGTTGAACGATGCTCTGAGTTCAATAAACATTGTTAATACTGTGTTTGAGTTCACTGAATTACGTATTATGTCACTAGGCTTCTTTGAGTCTTCCATTGAGTGTTTTCTTCCACGCGGCGGGACACTCAGACTCCAGTACCTCTCGCCATTTTTCTGTGCTTGTATGGGCGTGTACGGGAGTTCCCGTGAGTGAGTGTGGCACTGTGTGTGTGTGTGTGGCTTTCTGCGCCCCCACCCATCCATCCGGCCCCCGCTGCCCCGCCCCCAGCACCGACCCTCGGTAGGTTTGGGCAGGGGGCCCGGCCCCGCCACCACCCCAGAACACCGCGGCCGAGGGCCCGGCACCGCCACCCGCCGGCCGCCACCACCAACAGACCCCCGTCCTACGCCACACGCCGACCCCCGTCCTCCGCCACACGCCGACCCCCGTCCTCCGCCACACGCCGACCCCCGTCCTCCGCCACACGCCGACCCCCGTCCCTGTCTCTTATACACATCTAGATGTGTATAAGAGACAGCCCTAGGACAGACAGGCCTTACGGGCCTATGCTGATAGACGGTCCTATAGTCTATAGCCGGGTAGGGTTAGGCCCTAGAGGCCAAAACTGGTCAG